GTTCTAAGGAATTTACAAAAATAAAAGCTCAGAAAAATTAAAAATTAAAGGACCAAGATACAGAAAGTAGATGAGAGGCTTCAATAAATGTGTGAGAGGAATTCAGGGACTCCGGGAGTATGTAAGACTAGGCTGAAAAATACCAGAGGGGCTGGGTTGTGGTTCAGTGGTAGAGCACTTGCCTAGTGTGTGTGAGGCACTGGGTTCAATTCTCAGCACCACATATAAATAAATAAAATAAAGGTCCATTGACAACTAAAAAATATTTTAAAAATAATACCAGAGAAACAGTGATTGAAGAGAGATAATTGCTGAAAGTATTCAAGGTATCCCTCAAGGGCCAAACAAAATAAATACAATAAATTCAGATCTGGATATGGTTTTGCAGAAGATAAAGGGAAAAGATAAAGACCAAAGATCAATGGAGTAACAGCACTGTAATATTCAATGGTTGTCCTGGAATTCTGTACCTGGCTAAAATCATTCAAAACTCAGAGTGGAATAATGACATTTAATATATGCAAAGTCATAGAGATTTTACCACCTCAGAGCCTTACTGAATGAAAGAGCTAAGCATGCTGGGTTTCTCCATCTATTAACCTTCTGGACTTGGGACTTTTCTGTCCTGTATTGGTAGGCTTTAGGGCTGCAATGCCACTACCCAGTAGACCGATGCCAGCAGCACTCTTAGGTTGAGACAACTAAAAAAACGCCCAGACACCAACAAATGTCTCCTGGGGTGGGGTGTAGGGGAGTGGCGTCGGGTAGCAAAATGACCTGTGATTTCAAATCACCATATTAACAGACAATCTTTAGCAAGAAAAAAAAATGAACCCAGGAGGAAGACATGAGAAGAAAAGAAGTATAAATTAGTAAATATGTTGGTGAGATAATGATTTTTTTTAGCTTATATTTAACTTGGTAAGAGTGAGAAGTAAGGTGTAGAAAAGAGTAACAAGGAAGAGGTACATGTGTGGGTGGTAAGATCTGGGTAAGGTTATTGTCTTGTTTGGAAGGAGAAAAGAGAAGAAACAGATGTTGGGAAAAGGTATGGCTAAATATGAATATAAAAACCTAAGTGTGGAAGCAAATGTAGAAATAAGTCCAATATATCAAATAACATATCATTGTATCACAAATGTCCCCATAATTACAACATCTGTATAAAAAGATTAAGCTCTCCTATTAAAAGCCTGGAAAACAGATTGGATATAGAATGACATCCAGCTATATCCTGTTTACAAGTACAAATACCTAGCCACCTCGGACTTCCTCCACCCCACCACCAGACTGTTAAGACAGTTGTCCTGGCTTCTTCTAAATTCTTTTAGAGATCTTATATATTCGGGTGTGTATGTGTAAATATGTTTGTGTACATATATGGGCATGCTTTTAAAAATTATATGACTGTTAATTTAAAAATAGTTCAAAAATTGTGACACTAGTAAAGTTCTCCCATTCTGCACCCAGTTTCTCCCATTGTTAGCACTGGGCATTACTGTAGAACATTTGTTACAATTAATGAAGTAACGTAGATATGTTATTATTAACTGATGTCCACTCTCTATTCCCATTCCCTTAGTTTTTCCCTGATG